TGTACTCCCTCCTCTCAGGTGTACTCCCTCCTCAGGTGTGCTCCTCTCCTCAGGTGTGCTCCTCTCCTCGGCTGCTCTCCTCTCAGGTGCGCTCCTCCCCTCAGTGACGCGCTTGTCCCCTCAGGTGCACGCCCGCCTCAGCGTCGCGCGCCGCCCCTCACGAGCCCGCCCCGCCCTTCCCCTCGGGCGCGTGCGCCGCCCGCCGGCGGGGGCGGGGCCTCGCTTTCGAACGGCGGCGGCGGCGCCGGGCGGGAACATGGCGGGAGCGCGGGCTCTGCTCCGGCACTGCCCGCTGCTGCTGCCGCAGGACCGCCGCGGCACCGCCTACGAGGGCTTTGTCACTGCCCAGGTACCGCAGCCCGGGCGCCCCTTGGCCGGCGGACTTTACTCTGAGGCGGAGGGGGAGTTGCTTCCCGCCCTGCCGGGTCTGGGGAGGGGGAAGCGCTTCCCGCCCTGCCGGCTCTGAGGGGGAAGCGCTTCCCACCCTGCCGGAGTTCCTGGCTGAGCCACCGGGAATGTGAGTTGGGGAATGCCGTTTCCCTGCAAGCTCAAAAAGCTTGCCACTTCTAGATGCTGAGGGATCCCGCTGCCGTCCCGCGGGTTTGCCCAGGGAATGGCTTCCTGCTGCCTTCTGGGCTGGGTTAGTTGTGCTGACGAAAGTGGTTTTGGGGCAAGGCTGAATGTGCCCGCGTTCATGGCCTGTGGTAAAAGTTGACATAAATGTCTGATGGCGGATGTTTTCCTTTTATTTACTTGTGAGGGTTCAGCTGAGGCGGTGCATCGTCCCTCGGGATGCGGAAAGCGCGGGGCGGGGGGCAGAACAGCGCCTGAGGCAGGGTGAGGAGGATGCTCCCAACCCAGCTTTGCCATCGCTGACACTGTACCGCTGTGGCTCCTTAAAATATCACACAGAGCTCTGAACGGGTGTATTTTAATTTAGAAATAGCGTGGGGCTTTATTCCCCTCAGTAGATGGCAAAAGACATGGGCTGTGTCCACTAGCATTGTCAAAAACGTAGCTGACATTGGGACTGAAAGGAACCTCTGGAGGTCCTCTGCCTTAAGCAGGTTGCTTTAGGCTATTTGTAGTCGGGCTGTGAACATCTCCAAGCACTGAGAGTGTGCAACCTCTTAGATGGCCTGTTCCAGTCTCTGATCCCCCCTTATCTATAAATGAGGGGTTTTTTTCATTCCATTCATGTGATATTTCCTATATTTCTGTCACCTTAGCCTGTCAGTTTGTGTCACTCAGATCTGGCTGTACCTTCTATAGTCCTTCCCTGATCCCTCTTTTCTCCAGGCTGAACAGCCCAAGCTCCCTCAGGCTTTCCTGGCATGAGAGATGCTTTGAGCTCTTGGTCACCTTCAGAGCTCCTCCCTGGATTAACTCCAGCGTGTCCATGCCTTGCTTGTGCTGGGAACCCAGTACTCCCAGCTTCAAGGTGTGCTGAGCTGGGATAGGGTCTGGAAAAAAAGTTTTAAGAGAAGTTCGGGGCTTCACCAACTTTCTTTATTTCAGTTTTATTTTGATCATTCCATAAGAAAGTAGGAGGAGGGCCTCAATAAGGACTGCAAATACAAGTAGGGGGGATTTAGAAGCTGCCGTGTGTGGATTGCACTAACAAGAAAAAAAATTAAATTTATGTACTTGGGACTGTTTTTGTTTACAGTTCATAAAACTCTGATGAAAAGTGCTGTGGATCAGTGCCCAAGGTTCTTTTTAGCGTAGTTACTTCATAGATAAGTGTCTGTTTTGACTTTTACTCGAGTTGAAGATAAACTTTCTTGTACAGCAGCATGACTTGGATTAAATTATGTGTTTTGGTCTTGTCCAGATTTGGATAATGTTTATTTTTCTCCTGAAAGGTGTTATGTTTGCTTTATGAAATGTGATGTACTGAAGAGTTTTTACTGAATATTGTGAATTAAAGGTCAAGAGTATTTCAACCTCAGAATTAAAATCAACATTATTTGTACCTGTCACTCATGCTGCTTTTTATCCCTAAGGAAAGGTATTCTGAATAATATTCCTGAAAGACAAAAAAGACAGAGTTTTTTCCTTAGTAGCTGATCTGATGGGGAATCATTCCCACAAGTGTCTAATATTTTTCTTTTCTAACCTTCCTATTAACTAAATACTTCTTTTCAAGGGTAGAGACTTCCACATCAGGATACTGCTACCAGTGGATTTGCAACTGAAAAATGCCAGGTAAGAAAGAGACTTTCATGATAGCAATTTCTAAGTGTGATGTTACAAAGTTAATTTTGATAAAAGCAATAATGGATATGAAAATGAGTTATTATTTTTTTACAATATCCGTGTTATTAATTAATTCGTACTGGTTAATTCGTACTGGTTTCATCTTAACCTTGCAACAAAATTGCACAGCATCAGTGTTAATAAATGCTGACAATAAGCATTGCCTATATCAAAATATTTTGTTGTTAATTAACTTTGAAACATGTTGTAATTAATTGGTTGTATTTACATACATGAAGCAATGTACTTGGGAAAAATTATATTTTTTATATAATTTATATTTATAGATCGTTTATATGTTACCATTTCAGAAACAGAAAATTCAGTGCAAAGTTGTGAATTTAGCAATTATTTAAGCAATGATGGTTAACAGAGCTTTTAAACTTCATTTTCTGTTTGCTTCTTCTGTGTATTAATTGGTATGACCCAACTTTTCCTTAAAAGCTCTGTTCTTATTTCTGTTTATCCCAGCAGTCTGTGGGAAGTGGGATGAAAGGGGCTAATCCGCATACATGGGTGAGCCTTTAACTTTGTGTTCCATGGTTCTGCCTGGGCCAGCCAGCTCCAAACTGGGAGCAGATGTGGTATTCCATAGCTTTATTACATTCTAGGTTGGGTAATTAAAACTGCATTACAGGTAACTTTGACATTTTCAGGTTATCACTTTTAAATATTAGTGGATTTTATGAAGTCACACTCGCTTGCAAGAATTATGTTGTTGTTTTCAGCACAGAACGGGCTTTTGCAGGTTGATGCTTAATTTTTAATGGGCTTTGGCATAGTGACATTTGGAAGTTTTAAGTAACTTTGAACACAAAACTCAAAGCAGTTTTGAAGTATTGTTTCCTTCCTTTGTTTTTTTTCCAAGAAAAACTGTTGTGTGTAGAAGGCTTTCTGCGGTCTTCTAAAAATCATGTACTGTGAATTTAAAATCTGTACAAAACTCTGTTTGTCTAGGATAGAGTGCAGCTGGCATCTGAAGAAGATCCTGCATGGATATCGCCACATTTTAAAGCAGGTATGCAAGTTTAAGACCACTTATTTAAATATGATTATTAAACAGTCTTAAATAATTGTTTATAAGGATTCTGAAAAGCTTGTGCTCATATACCTATTCTAAAAGGGCTAAAGAGCCTCCCTTTCATTGTAGAGCCAAGATTTATTTTTAAATGCATGAGGATTTGCAAGTAAATATAATGAGAAATGGATGGAATTTAGTGAATATTTACTTTTATTCAATTTCTATTTTTTAGAGATCAGGCTAGTATAATTTTTAATAAATGACTGATGACATTTTACTGGAATTTTTCTGTACTTTCTCAATTAGAAACAGATTTTGTCTTCTTTTTTTAACATATTTACTTTTTTTACAAGTTGTTCATAATGCAAAGGAGAGAATTCACATTAATTTTTAATAGACTCAGTTCATTCTTGGGATCTGAATTACACCTGAGTACCCAAAGGAAGCTTTGGAGTGAGGATACAGCAGCCTTTGAGTCCCAAAGAATACTTTGTTTCCAAGGAGGAACCTTTGCCAAGGTGTTGGTTGAGACACTGTATCTCATGGATGTGGGTTCATAAATACATAAATGAGTGATGCCAGGGGATGTTTCATTCTCCGTAAAGTTTCCTGGAAGTTCTCTTCTGTAACTGAAAAATGTAAACATGTGGTGTACACTTGGGTGTTTTTATGTTTAGTTTGACAATACCAGAAAAAGAGTTGGGCTGACCCACCAGAAGTTATGAGTTGCAGAAAATTAACTAATCCTCTCCTTCCTCCAGAGGCTGCAGAGCTGCCCAGATCTTGTCAGCTTTATGGTGGAACTGAAAACTGTTTTGGTGAGTGGCACAATATATGTGTGGGACATGGGAGACACTTAGAGCTCTGGGTTTCACTTTCAGTTTTTACAGGTTACTGTTCCATAGATTTATAGCTTTTTTTTTTTTTTAAATAAAAAGAAGGGATTTTGTATATATGCTGTTCATGTAATAGCTGTATAAATATTCTGTTTTAAGTGACTGTATTCTTTGGAATTTGGAGTGTTATAGAAAATTTAGAATCCCAGCAAGGGATCTCAGTATAGAGATCCTCTTCGCAGTGATTTTCTTGGAATTCCTGTTATTTTCTGGATGGTAAAGCAGGTTTATAATTATACAATGGGTTGTACAGTCAGTGGATTGCTGAAGGTGCTTTCACCTGTGTAACAATTTGACAAATACATGCAGAAAGCTTTTTTTTTTCCCCTAATATTTCAGAGGCTGCTGTTTATTCTTGTTTTAAAAGATTTTCAGGTCTGGGGTTGAAAAGTATCAAACCCTTTAATAACCATGAAAGTGGGACTTCTTATCTAATAGTAAAACATTATTCTATGAGCATTCTTGCTGATGAATACTTCATCCAACCTACTTTACTTTAGGAACAAAACAGAGGAAGTATTCTTCAAAACTGAAGCAGAAGTTCCTCCTGGCATTACACTGCTGCTCTGCTATGCTTGGAATGGGCCTGAATAAGAATGTCTATTTTGGAATATTTTACAATAGTTATTCCAATCTATTTGCTTACTTACACGAGCACTCAGAAAATGAGAATGCAGTGAAAATATAATTCATTCAAAGTGGCAAAATAGTGATCCTCAGTTAATGCAGAGAATGAAAACACTGATGATGGTGTGGGACAACTGGGCAGAAATGATTGTTAAACTTGTCTTATAAATTATATTTTCATTTAAATTTATTTTATTTTAAATTATTAATAATTTTATTCTAAATGTCATAAATGTGTGTGTTCTGTAAGCATAATTTTAACTTAAATGCACTTTTAGAGAACAAGTAGCACAACACAACTGAAACACATGGTTAGGGCTTATTTTTCACAGTAATGTTAACTTTTCAGTAAAAACTTCTTTTTGAGACATTACTACATTCTTGATGAGTGTCGGTACCAAAACTTACTCTAAGGGATCCTGTGATGCTAAAACTGAGAAACTGATTTTGTTTTTTGATTGCTACATAAGATTTATATATATATATATATATATAAAATATGGGGAATATCATAGATGTGTTGTCTTTTGTGGCAGTGGAGCCCAGGAGACAGCTGTGGGCTTAATAGAACCTTCTTTTGAAATGTTCTTTCAGTCAAGATGCTTGACTTCAAATTTATTAGCTGAAAAAGAGGCACATTTGATATTTGCATCTGAAGACTCCGTTGTCAACATCTGTGGGGTTTTTTTTAAATTGCAGATGTTTTCATTACCAGTATCTGAAGTAATTTACCAAACAGCTTCTTTGTCTGCTTTAGCTGGAGGCTATAACAAAACAAATGCAGTGTACAGTTAATTTTACATAAGCTTAATATTTCCGAATGAATTGCAAAAATCACATGGCTAAATAGATGCAAAAATATTGAAATTGCCCTTAACGATGTTTTTAATGTTCTTTTAAACAGGAAATTGCTTTAAAAAACACACAAGACCTGCACATCCCACGGCCTCCAGAATACTACTCCTGTCTTGTCAGAGATCTAGAAATACTGGGCTGGAATAGGTATGATTATTTTAGTTCTTAACAAACATCGTCTTTAGAAATCTGTTCCTTTTCTGTATTTGTGAGTTGAACATATCAGATGTGCTTGTTCTGTTCATTTACCCTATTCAGAAACTGATTTTGCTTCGTTTTTAAATTAAAAACACACAACAAACCTGTATCAACAGAAGGGATATTTTCTGTCTCAAATAATTGAGCTGAAAGGTGATACACTACTAAGAAATCACTTCTTCTTTGACCTATAAACTACTGGAATATTAAAAATATTTAATGTTAATATTAGCAGTTCTCTTTTTCCCTATTTTGTACAGCTGATTGTGACTATTGCTATAGATTATGTCATGTACCTTTATGTTTTAATAAAAACATTTCATATGTTTTTGAGGATTAGAATAATAACTTTTTAAGAACCTGTTCTTTAGGGCACAATGATCTTCTTAGAGGAATTTATTATTTATTCCCCAGAAAGGTAAATCTACCCAAAAAATTCATGAGTGGAAGGGAGAATGTGAAAAACTCAACCCAAAACTTGAACAAGTGTATATTGTGCTAAATGAAATAAAGAAGCCTTAGTTGTAAGAACAGTTTTGAGTTTTCCCATCTGATTTCTATACAGATAAACAAGATGTGATTAACATTAAGTGGGAATTTGCTTTGAGGGCCCACTTTTATTTAAAGATTTAAAACACCCTTGTGAAATCAGCTGAAGTTTGTGTCAGTGATTGCCGTTGTTAATATGTAATTGTGCCATACTCTATTTAAATTTCACAGACTCAAATCTGAGAATATCAGGTAAAAATTATTAAACATGTGGGAAATAAATTTTCAATTATGTTTGCTCTCCCAAAATGGATGAAAAACAAAAACACCAACCAAAAAACAAGCAAACAAACAAACAAAAAAAAACAAACCCAAAAAACCAAAATCTTGAAGAAAGGTTGGGGAAGTCAGTGATTAATCAAAGGACTATGCTGCACAGGGGGAATCACATCGGGTTTACTCCAACTTGGAAGGAGAATAACCTGGACAGGCAATGTGAAGTCCATTAGCAAGTCACACCTTTGATTTCAGAGTGCTTTTAACACTAAAGTGACTCTAAGAGAGTCTCTTTACTGAGACTGATTGTGAGTTGTAAGTGATGCTTTATTTGCTTAGCAGTTAAAGAACATCCTGCAATGATCTTTCAGCAGAACTGCCTGTGTTTGGTACTGGCAGCGAGGTGCAATCACTGCTCACACCTTGAGCTTTAGTTAAGGATATTTTTTTTAGGAAAAACCCTTGCTTGTTATGTACCCCAGATTTACTCATTCCTAGCAAGTTTTGGGTCATGCCAAAAGCTGACTGCACCCAAATCCACCTGAAAAATTGGAAGTCATTGGCTCTTCTAACACTTCCCCTTAATGAAGCTGGTTGAGTCAGTGACAGTGTCCTGGGAAGGCAAATTATCAACTATAAAACACCTTTAGGACTGTTATCACCCTCATGGGGATTCATAAAGGTTGCCAATATCTCTTAAGTCCATGTTGTCTCAAATCTCAAAGCTCTTCTGCTTGATACTTTGCCATTTATTTCATATGAAATATCTTCTCCTCTTGCCTTCTCCATTTCCAGGGAATCCTGCCAGGTCCTGTACTCTGTCATTCACCTATCATGCTGGATTTCAGAGATTTACCTGAGGCTTTCCATCTTTATGCTGATTTCTTTTATTCCTTTTTTTGTATTTTTTCTCTTTTTTTTTCCCCTGTGATAAAGCGATGGAGCCTAGAGAGGTATAAAAGTCTGTTTAAGTGAAATATCACCTATGTACACAATTCCGTATGTGTTTATACAAAAAATGTGACTTTAAACTGAAAGAATCCAGACTTTTCTTATAAATCAAGGTTGAAGTGGTCCAAACAAGATGAATATCAGAACAGGTAAAATCCCATACACCTTTAATTTTTCTGTTTTCCTTTGCTGTGGATCTTTGGAGCAGAGTGCTGCAGGCTCCAGTTGTGCTTTGGTGTGGACACTGCTGCATTTTTCACTGCGGTATCTGTGCTGGGCCTTAGCTGCTGCTTCAGGAATTCCCTAGCCCAGGAAGCAGTAGATGGAGGGGTGGTATAGAGGTAGTTTCTCATCTTTATAAAACTGATACACTTTTGAGGTAAAGTTGGAATGAAGCAGGATTAATGATTTTTCTCCCCCAGTTAGAGAAAGAATCCTCTAATTCTTTCTAAGTATATCAAGTTTAACTGGTTCCAGTTGAATGACACTTTTATCAAGACTTGTCTTCCTTTCAGCTGCTGTGGAGAAATACTCCCAGAAATCTGCAGGTCTCTTTAATATTGCATTAATCAGCCTTAAACATGAAATAATCTCTCTCTCCCTTCTTACCACCACTACTGCTTTTTCCATCTGTATTTTTCAGTTTCCTCCTATTGAGGCTATTTCATTTATGCAGATAATTTTCTTCTTTCCACTTCCTTCCTAGGGATGTGCAACCCTTTAGTGTACATCTACTTTTTCTTCCACAAGCCTCTACAACTCCATTGCCAGTTTCATTTAAGAGAACCATGTGACTTTTTCTAGCATGTAGCATTTTAAAAAAATAAATGTTGCTTAGGCCTGCAAGCAGATGATCTCTCTGAACTCTGTTACACCTTTCCATCAGTCTGGGTGATAAGTTGTGCAATTATCTTGGACTGCTTTTTATCTTTACACAGGAATGAGATAGTAAAAATGTCAAAATATCCACATGCCCAGTTTACTGATAAATATATGGAGAGGTTTGAACCTTTTTGGCAGTTGTTGAAGCTACTAAGCAGAATCCACCTTTAGAGAACAATATATTTTACAATTGTATCCATTTTCAGTGTGGTGGGAGGCATGAACCAGTTACATCTTAAGCAAAGATTCAGAAGTTCTAAAACTCATTCACATTTAGTATATACTTTCTGCTTGCTAGGGTGCATGAATACAGTGTAAAACTGTCATGAAATGAAGGCAAATCATCATAAATAACTCATTTTGTACCTGCTTGGGTACTCTTTTCTGCAGAAAATCGATTTTAGAATATGAACCAATATGCACTGAATTTCCCACAATAATAGTATTGATAATAAAAGAGAACTTCATTGAAGAGAAAAGCAAATCAAGAGCATAAAAGTCTCATAGAGTAAGAAACTGCAGAAATGGATCAAAGATTTGACAGGAAGTTTAATGTGTACATAAGTAGAGGCTGACAGGAACACGCTGTGTGTGTCAAAGGTTCCGGTGATGGAAAACTGAAACACGGTGCTCACTGACCACAGCGTGAGCCCTGACACATGCTGTAAATAACCCAGAGATATATGACTGCATTAAGCACTAGGCTGGTGTATTAACAGCAGTAAATCTGCAGCAGCAGAAATGCTTGGCATATAGGACTCCCTCTGATTAATATTTGTAACAGACTAATCAGGGTATTGCAGACCTGTCGTTCTAATTAGGAACGGCGAAAAGAACGACACAGACTCTCAAGGGAGTCAGAACAGGAGAATTCCCTAGTTTATTGCTTCAGGCCTGTTTTATAGACAGATACGTGGAAAGTACAGAAAGGAAACTCTTATTGGTTAGTTAACTGCTACATCACCATCATTGGTCAGTGGTGCACACCACCTCCTGACTTTCTCCTGCAAGGAAAACAAGAGGACAGACAAACAGCACCTGGCAGTTGTTTTCTGTCTCTAAGAATTGTTTTGAATTCCTCCTTAAAACTTCTCAGGCTACTTTCTCAGGCTGAACTGAACTCCGGGGCCTGCAATAATCACAGGCACTCTGGTTCAGATTTAGCATCCATACAGACCTTTCAAACTGCACTTCTTGCAGGCCTCTGAGAGTTTTCTTCTCTCTTCCAGAGTGGCCTATGTAGACACTGGGCTGACCACAGTCAAGTTAAAAGCTGAAGACTCTTGTGGTCGACAGCATCTCATCACTCTCAAGTTAAATGCAAAGGTAAATTGATGTGGGACAAAATACCTTGAGGCTTCCTTGAAATAAATCGATTTTTCTTAATTCATTAGGATTTTAGAGGATTGGTTTGTTTGCTGGTGTGTCTGTTCTGCAAGGTAATAGGTCAGTTATATTTTCCTTATTTGAGGGTTTTCAGACTAACTATATTTAAAATTAATATTGGATTATGGTTGTCTGTAAGATGCAATAGTGCATCACATGAAAAACACTTTGATATTGCACTAATTTTACTGGATTGCAGACAAAGCCATATGAGAGACATTCCTTCATTATCACTCTATCCAGGGACTGTGCATAGAACAAGAATTAGAAGATGTTGGGTTGGTTATTAACAAGTCTTGCTGTTAAAGTCAGAGATGTAAAGATTTATGAAAAACTGAAGTCAGACAGAAAAATTATTTCTTTTTAGTCTAAATAAATGTCTCATTTTGACAGTACTTGCAAATCAAACCCATGGCATTTGCAGAAAGAGAACAATTTTAATTCTTCCTGGTACTTATCACTGAACTCAAATTACAACGTTTCTTTATAGAATGTCTCATTTCAAGGCATAAATCTCTCATCAGAGACTGTGAATATCCAGGCTGCGTGGTGACAATTGCTTGGCAATAACTGTTGTCTTCAGAAAATCAGCCCAGGGCAAAAAGAGATCTAGAAGTGTCTGGATGTTGTTGTTTGGGACTATCTATGGCCCATCATCTCGAGTTATAATCTTGGAAGCATGAGGAGGGGGCACAGTATTGTAGGATTAAATCCCACCTTCACAGGCATCCTATTCTAAAAACCAGGAGTTTTTTAGTCTTACATAACATGAACAAGCTTCCCCTTTGAAGGGGAAAAGGAGGGGGAAAAATACCATTTGAGAATGAGTGTTGCTCAAGTGGATTTTTAAAAAGAGTAAAACTGTTCTACATGCAGAGAGTAATGAGTGCATAATTAATTTGCTAGTCAGTCCATTATTAAATACACAGATGGAAAAAAATCCATCAGGAAGTACAATTATGGTCTATTTAATGTGCAAGGAGAGGAACCAGGTTGTGTTGTTTATAAGGGATAAATACACTTTGTGTGACACTAGAAATTAGGTGCAGCCTGTTGCCCTAAGGCTTTCTTGCTCTTAGGACAACAGAAGTAAAGTATTTTTACTGATTGAAAGTATAAAAATGCAGAAAAATTCACAGTGCAATATTCATTTTTCCCATGGTCAAACACTGACACTTGTGCATTGCTTGGTTCTGTTCAGCCTTAACTTAGCACTGTCCTGAGGGAATGGAGGTTCTCATTTTCTGTCCTTGTACAAACTTGAGGGGTTTTTGATCATAATAAAATAGCTGAATACTCCTCATAGCAGAAGAAAGCACCATCTAACAACTAAAGATGTATGTAATAAAAAGATTAGACTATCAGACTTGTCTGTTTTAATAAGTAATCATATTTTTTCTATTTTTCTTCTTTTTTTTCATTTTGTTTTCGAGTGTTTTTGATGATGAAGGATCAATTACTTGTCCTTTTGAAACCATACCTGGCATTTAAACTTGCCAGACAAAATTTGTGTGTGAAACATTGTTTTGGTGACATGGGGATTTAATTTGCCTTCGTACACACAGACACTACATTTGAGAAGACTTGGCTGAAGTATTTTTTGGGAATTTCTTTTGATAACATACTTTAATAAAAGTGTATTTATTTTTGTTATGCTGTTGTTTTGGTTAATATCAGTGTAGGAGCATTTCAGACCCCAAGGCTTCAAATAGGCCACTGCAAGGGTTTGCCTGTTGTGTAATAATTAAGACACTTTGGTAATTATCTGAATGATCTGGCAAAGGGTATGAAAATGCTTTCTCTAGATAAAGTTAGCTGCATGCTCAGAAAACCAGTATAAATGTTGTATTTGATAATTGTTTAAATTGTCCTAAGGAATGATAGGATGATTTCTGACACACACATTTGATTGTAACTGTAATAAGTTAAGGTGTTATCAAATCTTTTATGGCTATTTTTTTTAAATTACAGCCTTTTAAAAATTTTCTTATTGTTATCTCTTAATTTGGATTGAGGGTTTGTTTTGATTTTGGTTCTATGTTCACTTGTCTCTTTCTAAATAGTTAAGTACTCTAGATTACTTTCAGTTCTAAAAAACAAAACATTGCCAATCAGAACAAATAGTTTAGCTTAAATGAAAATTAGTTACTGACTGTTTGATTTTTAAATTTTACTATCCAGTATGGGTAATTGAGGAGAAATTTGTAAAAATATTTCATGCTTTGTGTCTTAAGGTTTCTTTAATGTGCCTTTGTGACCACTGAACACGGAAAATTGTGATTCTGTTGCCTTTACTAAAGACTGATATATAAAACATTTACATGTAGCTTTCTTCTTTAAATGATAATTAACATTCATAAGTATTCCTGAAAATGCTTTACAAACTGTTTCCTCTCAGAGCCAAGTTCTCAAAATCCTTTAAATGCTCATATTTTGTTATCAAATTTGGCAGCTGAGTATCAGTCTGACTTTAAATCGCTAAGAAAAATAATGTCCCAAACTGTATTTTATTTCCCTCCCTCAGTATCCTACAGAACCACCAGATTGCCTTGTGGATTTTCCTGTTCCATTTGCTGTTTCCTGGATGCCACAGGTAACTACTGGACTAGGCAGCTTTTTGTAATAAAAAATACATATGCAATGGCAGGGTGGTGACAAGGGGTTGGGTTTGGTTTTTAACTCCAGCTGTTCTCCCTGTGTGCATTTTATTTCTGTACATGCTCATGGAAATGTAATAGCACTCAACTCCATAGTCCTTATCATAGCACCTTAAATATCTTCCTTGCCATGAAATATATCTTGCATGTTGTATGTACTGGTTGGTGGGGTTTTTTTAAGCTGTTCATGGGAGTGAAAATTCTCCAGGAATTGTGGTGGGAAAGTAGAAAGGAAGTGAAATTTAGAAAGAATTATTGTCTTCTAGAAAAGAAACACCCTCTAAAGTTGACAGACATTGAAAAAAGGAGTTGGTTATCCTATAGAGTTTTCCCCAGTTTGTTATCCTACAGAGTTTTCATAACTTAGTAAAACTTTTCCAGTTATAATCTATATAGGAAGGTATTTAATTAAATTCTGATTTCACAGCTTAACTGATATTGCTGTTATAAGGAACCACATTGTTTTTTGTGGGTCTCTCACCTTATTTCATGTAGCTTTCTTCCTGAGTAGAGCATGTGTGCTTGGTGAAATGGATTTAAATGTGACCACTCAGATACAAGTTGATTTGAACTATATGTAGAAAATAATTGATATCTAATTTCACTTCAATCAGGAAAATAGATTTTATATAAGTGATTACATCTGATAATTCTAATTCTCACATGGGTTTCTACCCAGCAATAAATAACAACTTTCATAGGGAACGTGGCTGGGAGATTGCAACAGGGTGAGTTTAAACCATTAAATTTAATGTAATTTTTCTGCAGAGCTCAAGGTTCTGTGTGTCACCTCAGACCCACTAATATTGAGAGGAAATAACTGCAAGAATCAACCACTGCAAATGAAAAATGTATTTATTTATGTAATTTTAGGTTTTGATTCTCTGGTATGGTTTGGAACAGTTTAAATAAATGTTTTCCCCTTAAATTTTACTGGAGTCCCTACACTCTGGCCATGATTTCAAGTGCTGTTTTTAGCCTCAATACATACTTTCAACAGTGCTTTATTAATTTTACAGCCTTGCAATTTATGTTGCCTCAAATTAACAACATTTCAAACATCCCTGACAGTGACTGCTTCTCTGTGTTTACTATTAGTAATTTTAAAGATGGACTCGTGTTTTAATAAAATGTTCTGGAAAAGCCTGACATGGAGCAGCCTTTGACAAGTTAAAAATGGGGGTGGATATACTGATACTGGCACTAGAGCCAAGGAAAAATCCTCTGTTAAAAATACAACACTGTGATGCTTAAAATCTTTTTACAATTAGAATTACCTGGGGACTATTTGAAAACATGAACAAAAGGTGTTTGTGTGTAAGTGAAGAGCCTGTTTTGAAATCATGAGACACGACACTAATTCCAGCTGCAGAGAGCCTGCTCTAATCCTGAACCAAATACCAGCAGACAGAAATGCTTTAGCTGTACAGCAGCTTTTGCAAATTGACCTTATGTGTGTGGGTGACATGAACCCAACACTTGTGGGGACAAATGGCTTTGGTAATTGTGTAAATTGTGTTTATTTTCCAAATGTGTGGGAATCACTGCTGCGAGCAGCCCTCACACGGTGATAAAATATGGGTTAAGCTTAGATAATGCTGCAACACCACTGGTAGCAGAATTCAGCAGGTACTCAAGTGCATGAAAATTTTGGTTCCTAAAAGGGAAAAAGAACAGGCTGTACCTCTTCTCCAGTGAAATAACACGGTGTTTTGGTACTAATTGGTCTTAAACTTTTAATATTACGCCTTAAAAGTATAAATTGACGAGGCTTAACTAAATTGGTGCAATGGCACCATTAGAATATAAACTCCTATGAAAGAAAATATAAATAGATTGCAGGTAATTGATTTTTCTTTCCCACCCCCTGTGTGTGCTGCTGCCTATTTCAGGCTCATGGATTTTAAACTTGAGGGGTTGTTGAGGTTTTTTTCCTTCTTTTTTTTTTTCCCTTCCGTATAATAATAGACATGGCTTTATGGCATCCATATTAAAAATGGGTAATTTTCCTTATGGTCCCTGTCTTCCTGCTGGGTTGATAATGTTTTGATGTATTTTTCTTTTGCTCTGATGAGAGGTCTGCTGCTGCTGCTCTGACATATTCATTTGGATGAATAATTATAACTTGCACAATGTCAAGCTGAAGATGGTGGGGTTTTGTGCGTCATGACAAGCCCAGTAGCCAGTGCAGGTGTCTCACAGCATGAGCAGCAACAGCCAGTGGATTCTGGCTCAGAGGAGACGTTTTAGAGTAGTAAGAAATCAGCACCAAGGGCAATGCTGCTGCTGCTGCTCCTGTTCTAAGTGCCAAATAAATGCAGAGTGCTTCTCAATGACAAGTGCAAGAACATCCACTTATTTCTGTTATAGCCTTTTTCTAAAGAACCAGATAAATGTGCTGTCTCCAATTTTAGCACACGCTGGAAGTGCAGTTCTGCAGAATCAGGGTGTCTAATGTCAGGGCAAGGTTTCCAGACTGACCACTGCCCACCTGGCTGGCTACATGAAGGTCATGGGAGTGGAAATTAATGACTAATGAGGTCATGCAGCAGCCGGCAAGGAAACGGGAATGCAAGGTGCAGAAGATGGAGTGATGAGGATGAGATTATTCTTGGGTTATTTAGATGAAAACACAATAAAAAGCATCGTAATTGTGCTTTTTCTTGGCAAAGGAACTTCACAGGCACCAGCTGGAAATGGAGATGGTTGACAAGACACTTTATTATAAAGATTTCAGGTTTGTGTCTTGGCTTGATTTCTGTTAAGGAGAGGGGAAATTGTTAAACTACTGCTGATGAGAAACTGTTTCCAAACAAATCTAAGGAATCATAAATTCTTTAGGTAATCCCTTTTCCATTTAATGACTGTTTGCTTTATGAAATTGTATTTTATTTATGAATTCATGAAGGTGAAGAAGGTAATGGCACCTATAGTTTAGGCTATTTCACCTTTCCTCTTAGGGGGCTTTGCAGTTGTTTTAATTTTGGATAAGCAAATTTTGTGTTAGGAAGAATTTTAGCCAAAAAAATCTCAAAAATAATTTGCGATCAATTGTTCTGGATTTACTTTAATTAGAACTTTTTTTACTACCATTTGATTACTATTTAGTTCATCCAGGATTTGGAGCAGATGCTTGAAATTTGGCAGAACAGCCATATAGGTTACAGCACTTCTTAGAAGCTCCTGAAAGGCTTCATTGGTTTTTTGGCAGGCACAGACTCAAGATTTTTCTCTTTATTCTTCCCAGCCTCTGTGGCTCTAGAAACAAGAACCAAGAGTAGACAGCTTAGAGTAGATTTTTTTCCCATTCCTTCTTATCCCTTTGATTGGAGGGAACAGTTTATGGGCAACAAGGGTGGACTTTGGAGAATGTTTGAATTGAAGGAAGAAAGGAATTGGCAAGAGGAGATCCTGGTGATGAGGTGGAGATGAGAGTGCAGAGGTTTGAAATGGAAATAAAAAGGCTGAGCAATCACACGATACTTTCCTGGTAATAGAGAAGTGTTCCCCTCCAAGACAGGGAGGTCCAGAATAATCTGACCCCAAAGTATCTGATTTTCCCTGGACGAAGTCAGTGGTGGAAATGGATATGGGATCCACGGAGTCTGATAACACAGAGGTGACATTGGGGTGGCACTTTCTGGGACCCACCGAAGCCAGTGTGTTAGAGGATGGAGGAACCAGTTGGGCTTTGTGAGTGCTTTTACAGCCAGGGTGAGCAGCAGTGACAGTCTGAATGATGTCTTATTTTCCAGAGAATTTTGACACATTTCACACAAATTCTAATTCATTTGTACAAGGGGGACCATGAAACAGAGTTTGTGCCATTTGATATTATTAACAGTGGTCTTGGTGTAATTTAGACCAAAGTGTGATCTCTGGCTGTTCTAAAAGTGCAGGGCAGTCACCAAAAATTAGTTGGTTAATCAAATAAAAAGGAATCTCAGAGTTTTCATGGTTTGCATGACAAGCAGGTGATGTATTTAAATAGCTATAGATGCATTTATGTATATGGCAGGAGACAGCTGGCAACATCAGTGAAGCATGCAAATAAGATCAAATGAACAGGGTAGGAAAAAAAAGATTTAACTACCTTTTTAAGAAACATCATTGAAAAATTACAATTAGTATTAAAATTAATTGGATTTTAAAACTTATCTGTGGGTTATAATCCCTTGATGTTTCTTTTTTCTAGTGAAACCCTTTGAATTCCCAGAAGATAAAGATAAAAATGATTATTAGAGGATTTATCTGTATGTGATATAGAAAAATGTAAAAAATCAAAATGGAAAGCAACTGTTGCAAGTACCAGAAAATTATGCTATTAATTTAAGTGTCATCAGAGCACAAAAGATCACATTTCAGGACTGTGTGAAAATTATTAAAATACTGGAAATAATAGTACTTAAGATGAAGATACTATACTCTAAGATGTGGTTAAGTGACTGACACTATTATATCACTTCAGGTATAATAAAAGTAACAAAATGCTTTTAAAGATAATAAGCGTTACATTTTGAGATTGGCAGAATTCACACTTCTCTGCTTAGGTGCTTTCCTACTTTAATGTAATTTAACAACAGCAGGAAAAGATGTAGCATTTTATTTCCAAGCTACGCCATTTCTTTCTAAAATACGCATGCACAAAATATGGAAAGTTATTACATAGGAAAATTCTATTTCTTCATCTGAGAACACTCGGATAATTTGCTGTTCTTTGTCCAGGTGAGAAAGGGAGAATATAATCACTACAGATTAAAGGAAAACATTCCTTCTGTATTTTGTTTAATTCATAGAAAAATACCTGTCTGAGAACAGAACGTTTAATTTGCTTTTTCCTTTGAACCTCAAGGTATCTGAGATCTGTCCCTCTCTGGACATCTGCACCTGCAAAGGGTTCACTTGACCACCAAGGGTTTTCTCCTCTTGCAGAAATCTTTTCCTGGGGAAATGGTGACTTCTTTTTGTCCACTGATGACTTCAAACGATTTCTTTTGCATTGCTGTCCTGTCTAATGAAAGATGCTTCTGATTCTGTGTAATCCACTCTCAAATATTGAAATCCCCCATGTGTAATCCTCTGCTATTAGATGGCTTCTCCTTCTCATGCCTTATTTACAGAGTTTGAAAGCTGATCTTAAGCACCTGCTTTTATACTGCTTAATTTTGAGATAATGATGAGGTTGTTAGGTGATATTCCATGCTTTATGCTAACACGATACACTGGGACACATGTGGATTTCAACGCTCCTTAAAATAACAAATTGGTTTTTAAATATTGTCTCAGGCCACTGGTGGAAACTCAGTGAAATCTTTTTAAATTTCTTGTTTTCTTAGAACTCCTTAATAGACATTTACAATCAGTTCCTGGCAGCATTGGAGTCCCTGAAGGAATTCTGGGATGCCCTGGATGAAATCGATGGGAAGACATGGGTGCTTGAGCCAGAAAATCCCACACGGAGTGCTACAACCAGAAGAATTGCAATAGGTAGGAAAAGATTTAAAGGGATACAGTGGATTTGAGAAATAAAACTCAGGGAGCTGTTTTGTTTTGCTTGTCTCATCAGATGGTGCTTCTTTGTGTTTGGGAAAGGAAAGGCAGCACTTAAAACCAAAGACAGAACTCCTCTTTCACATGTAAAAAAAATAACTTTCCATAACAGAATGCTGATCCTGTTTAGGAAATTCATCACAACTTTCTGGTGTCAGAAAAATGAAAATTTCTGCAGGAAAACCTTGTGTATTTGTAAATTACGAACATGGAACTGTCAACAGCTGAGCTCTTGCATGGTAACCCTAGAAAAATCAGTATTTGTAAAAAATCAGCTTAGGTGAAGCCCTTACCTCAATCACAAATTCCTGATTTTTAAACCTTAGATTGATCCTATCCTGCAGTGGAAGGAGTATTAGAGTGCAGCCCAAGGGGAAAAAGGGGGTTAAAGGATTCAAGGGGAAAGGACAAAGAAATAAAAGAGAGAAAATGAGGCTTCCCTGTTAACTGCCTGAAAATGTCCCTCAGTTTATATGATGATTTTAAGGTCTTAATATACACAGGATAAGGAATTTTATAGTTATATATGTAAGATAAGGAGTTGTAATTGCAGCTGTCAGGCTGGAAATGTTGGGGGAATGTTAACTTTGCCCAAAAAGTGCCAATTTTCCAACAGCACATTGTAGAAATGTGAGAATACAGAGTGGAGCCATGTTGTCCCTGACAGCTGTGGAGGGAGAGAGGCAGGAGCTGGAGGGGAGCTGCTTCAAGGGAGTGCAGGGAAGGACAGGAAAAGTGCAGCAAGTGGCTGGAACGACATGGGTCACACAGCACTTTGTGTGCAGGCAGGGAGGGGGGCTTTGTCCTGCTCCTGCTGCCCTTTGCCACAGGCCAAGGAAAAGGGAAGAAAAGCCTCAAAAATGCCCCGGAGCAGCCGAGCGGAGGAAGGATGAGGCTTTGAGCCATTGTTGTCAGAGAACCTTCAGCTACCACTGAACTTTGAGTTCATTCATTCCCACCTCTTCCAGGATGGAAAGCCTAACACAGCTTTAATTACAGAAAGGGTTGGGTTTCACCTGGGCTTGTTCAGAAGAGACTCTGCTGTGATGTTTTGGAGCTGGATCCAGAGCAGCACTGAGCTGCTTCCCTCTGAGGAACAGAGCCCTTCCAGGGATGATGGGGTGTCTGGTAAAGCCAAATACTTGCTGTTTCAAATATACAGCATTGTTGTCTCAGTCCTGGAGTTTGCTGGGGAGGCAAATGACTTCTGCTGCTTAATATTGGGGTAGGGGTTTCTTTTTGACTACAAAAGATAAAAATGAATTAGTAAGTTACATGTCTCTACCTTTAAAGTTTCAACAAAATTTTGAATGGATATTGTCATCTAGGTTGGGTTGATTACATTTATTTCTGAATAAGTGTGAAGGTTAAGCCAAGTCTAAAAGAAACACAAGCCTGGCAAGTTTTTTTAATCAGTTGCTATTTTTAATTACAGTTTGTGGAAATGTAAATATTTGATGTATACTGATATTTTGTACAATCATTTGGATACCTCCCACCTTTGTTATTATTTATCCTAATGAAACCCAGCCTGAGTTAACCAATTTAAACCTGCTTTTAAAAATTGTTCCTTTTTCAAATCCTTGACTGCAAAACTTCCTCATGGCCTCACTTTCTCCTTGCAGGGAACAATGTCTCAGTGAATGTAGAGGTAGATCCTCGCCATCCAAACATGCTTCCAGAGTGTTATTTCCTTGGAGCAGACCACGGTAAGGCAGCAAATTGCACTTGTTTCTACTCCGGACTCAGTCTGATCCAATCCCTACCTGAAACCTGGGAGGTTCACTGGGGTGATGCCATTATTCCTGTCTGTTGTTTGCAGAAGTGAACCCTCTGAGAGCAAAACTCAACAACAACATGCACTTGTGGTAAGTGTCTCTGATAAAGCAGGCTAGAAACCCAAATGGTGTTTGCCATTCCTCGTGTGGATTTTTCTCTCCCCCTCTCCCACCTGCAGGGATCCAGAAATCAGCTTGTTACAAAACTTAAGAGAGCTCCTGGAAATTGATTTTCCATCTCGTGCTATGTTGGAAAAAAGCGTAAGTTGGTTTTGGTTAACGATCAGTCCTTATTGCTGAGTTAGTCACATTTAAATGGTCACTTTCTAAGAGCCAGGGACAATCAGGGGCTTTTGAGAGGTAATTGCATTAATACATTGTCAAAGTACTTCTGGACTTCAAGCAACAGTTGTCAGAGCTTGTTAACCTTTGATTAGAGGAGCACACTTCCCTGTGGCCTCCATAGCAGTTAGGTCATTAATATCAGGCTCTGCTATTATAAGGAAAAGAGGAAGTTCCAGCGTGGCTAATGAGATGTGGAAAATCCAAACATTCTGTTATGGATGTTGATAACTTCAGTTCTAATTAGGTGGAGCTGCTTAGAGGGGACAAGAGGCCATCCAAATACTGGCACATTTCAAACAAACTGGGAATTAATTTTTGAAAATGCTTTAACACTGGGATTACGAGCTTCGCTTTCACTCATGAAGCTTCTAAATTAAGATCTGACTGAAGGTTTGTGTCTAATGTCGAATCATAATGACAAATCATAGTGGTTAATAAACAAAATGTGCCCAAAAGTATGAAAATGCTTGTTGAATGAGATATAGTTCAGTAAGGGGATAAAATATAACCCTGTTGAGTCTTGCACACCTGGAACCCAGTGTCACTGCACCATTGTGACATAAACATGTGTGTCTTGAAGGCAGAAAATAATAATTCCAGCCAACAAAAAGTGCAAAAGCAAACCACAGGTGAAACTGTTTGTGTGCTAGCAGCCCACCCCTTCCTTTCAGCTGTGCTGTTGTGTTCCAGGACTTTGCCAAGGACTGTGGGATCTGCTACGCCTATCGGCTGGACGGCAGCACGCCCGACCAAGTGTGCGACGATCCTCGCTGTGGGCAGCCCTTCCACCAGGCCTGTCTCTATGAGGTGATGTGACCAATGGCACAAACTGCTCATTAGCTTTCTGGCACGTTCTGCACATCAAGCACTGTCCACTTAAATTCTGCAGTAAGCAAGTACCCTTAAGGAACATTATGGCAGTCACTTATCCTGCCACCCCCAATTCCTACAGGAGCTCTCTGGGAAAGGGAACTGCCGTCTGACTTTGTATGTGCACTGTCAGATGTTCATCAGCTGAACTCTGGTAATTAATAGACATTTCTTAAACTGGAGATGAAAACAATGTGACTTTTAACCCACTTCTTGTGTTGCAGTGGCTACAAGGCCTTCCCACCAGCAGGCAGAGTTTTAATGTCATCTTTGGTGAATGTCCCTATTGTAATAAGGTAAGGAAATCCAAGGAGTAGGAGTGAACTAGAGTGGAAAAGGCAAATGTGTCGGTGTTTAACTAAAGGTTTTTTGACATAGCATAAAGACATCCCCACACTAATGCCAGAGTAATTAAGGTCTACACTCCACTGTATTTAATGGTACTTTTAATGCTGTAACAAAAAGTTCAGTCAAAAACAACAACAAAAAAAAAATCAAAAAAAATTATAACAGAAACCAGCACAAATAGTTCAGAAAATCCGTAAGTATTGAGTGCAGATGAGAACTTGCCTGTACAAGGCATGTACTGACAAGATTATTTAAAAACTTCTTTTTCAAGCCCCTGACACTGAAATCTTCAATGAAGAAACTCTAGGAAAAAACTGTGTGGTGGGAGCAGCACTGCACTCCCACTGAAGACACAGGAACAGCAACATCAAAGCAGAGACAAGGACAGGACAATGAGCAGCAGAAGCACCAGAACAGCTGTAGTGTAGGGGTAGGTTTCATCAGCAAATGCCAGCCTGAACACAGCAGAGAGAGAGGAACGAGTGCTGCCACCACCAGCCTGGGATGCTGCTGCAGGAACTGGAGTTACAAGGTGATTGTGTTTCTTTCGGAATTCTGAGAGTATTCTGTAGGGGTCATATGGTGGCAGTTCTCTTGCAGTGTCTTCCTGCAGGGGAAAAAAAGCTGTGATTATAAAGCTAATATGAAGTGAGATGTGAATCAAAAAACCAGAGATGCCATTGAGGTATTTAATATATCCTAGAGAAAGCATTACAATTCTTAGAGTCTTACCTCTGGAATTTGCACTTGTATGGATATTGTATGGTAAGTGTGTAACGTGAGGCACAGTTAAACACCTCCTAAAGAGACATACCTACATTTGTTATTGAAGTCTACAGCTGAGATTCTTCTCTGTCTTTGACTTGTTTCCAAAAACATTTAATATATTCAGTCTTTCCTGTGTTCCTGCTAATAAAGATTTATCCTCAAGATAAAAGCTCAAGATATGATTTTAAGTGTGAATGTGCTGGTTTGATTTGTGTAAGTTTTGCATTTCACAGTGAAGCTGAACTTCTGCCCATCACAAGGAACATAAACTGGTGGAGTGGGGCTGTTCTGCATCTCTGGCAGCAATGCTGTCCTTGGCCAGCCTCACCTCTGAAAGGGATCCCCAACACCACAATCCCACTTCTCACTTAGCCAAGGCTTGATTCTCTTTTCCACTGTCCCTTAGTGCCAGGGACAGCTTTGGTTTCCTACAGAGCTTTCCATTACCAAGCTCCTGAATTACGTGAGAGAAGTGAGAGAAATTCTGCAAAATGAAGCAAAGAGACTCCTGCCTTTTTTCCTTCTCCACTTTCTCATTTGAACAGCTTAAATGTTATCTGACACCCATTTAAAGTTCCCCCTATTATGCAGAATATTCAGTGAGTACCACAGAATGGTTCTACACAGAAACAGCATGTTTAATCCTATTGGAATAGCGGCTTTTCCATTAGGAAAACTAAATCCAAACACAAATATAATCTAACCGCCAGCCCAGTGATTAGTCCCTTTTCTGCAAAAACTTTACATATGAGGACTAGGAAGTAACACGGGAATGTTTTCCTATTCCAAAGTTGTGTTTGATGTGTCAGACTCCATCTCCCCTTCTGGCAGCCAAAATTTCCCAGGATGGTTCTGCTCACCACTGTCCTGCCTGGTGCTCTCAGGTACAGCTGTGCTTTTGCTGCTTCCCTCTCCCAGCTTGTACCGGAGTCTCCAGGCAGTGCTGGTCAGACTGCTTGAAGCAAAGAATTTTGGATTAATCATAAAGCTACCTTTAAAGTTGCATTTTTTGTGCTCATTAGAAACTGTCCTCATTTAACCAAGTTATTTGTTTATAGGAAAGAAAACCAGGGTGGAATCCCCTCACTAAAATATACCAGAGTGCCAGAGAACAGGAGCACAGGGTGATCACAGATGGACATGGTGCTGTTTTATTTGTACTAAAACTAATCTGTTTATTCATTTTTTTCCTGTACAATTGTAGAGTAAGACTAAAACTATTAATTCAGCCCTTTTATGCACTAAATTAACAATAATATTCAAGGTGAGTTTGTTAATGTAAAACTCCGAACTTAAATAACGAGCGCTATGAAGTTTTCCACTACACAGAGAAGGAAACTGCTGAACACTACCAAGTCTCTACCAGGCAAACAACAGGATGCACAAAGGGAGACAAGAGTTGGGCAATTACAGTCTGGCTTTGCAGCTACACAAACTGCAGTGGTACATAATGCTGGCCAGTAGTACATACAGGCAATCACCTACAAACCTTCAGTGTTCGTGGCAAACAGAGTTTGCATACACATAGCTGAGGCTTTGAGTTTTTGGAACTCTTGTTTTTTGAAAAGCCGATCTTTCCTTCTCAAGCACAGTGACTGTTCCACGGTAACACCAAACCCCTCACCTTTTTTGGGTGCTCAGGCTCCTGACGTGTAGTGTAAAATTGAAGCGGCTTCTCTTCCTCCTGGAACTGCCAGCGTGTTCCCCGGGTGCGGGGCCTGCTCAGGCAGCTGGAGTGGTCCTTGTGCCCTGTGTCCTCCTCCTGCTGCACTGCTTTTGGGGATGGCCTGGGCAAGGGAGCCCGCTGGGGTACAGACAGTAACTCTGTGTGCTGAAAGGAATTCAGGAAGTTCAGAGTTACCCCAGGTTTGCAGGCACCAGGTTTGGGGCAGGCCAGGCACTGCCCTCCTGGCGCTTATGCACTTGGCTACCAGAGACTCAGGTTCCTGTTTGGAATACTGGAAGCCAGCAAGCATCTGCCAGCTCCTGGAGTTTGTGACAGAGCCCTTGGCTCTTTTCCAGCTCTCTTCCTCCTCACCCATCCCAAGAGATGAATGTGGAGCTAATGAACAGGGAGATCTGGGTGCTGCTGCAGTGCCCAATTCCTCACCTGCTGCAGCTCTGCCTGGAGACGCCTCGTGCTCCGTGTACTTGGCTTCCCTTCTCCCAGGAGCTGTGTGCCTGTCACCCCCACATACATTTTGTTTGGACAGGCAGGCTCTTCAGCTTCTGGCTTTTTTCCCTTCTGCTGAGCTGGTTTTGCTGGAGGCTTTGGGAGGCGAACCTGGGGTGCACAGTAAGCATTTATACAGGGGAAAAAAAGCCCAGATTACACACAGAAAAAAAATGATCATCATATATACACCCTTAAACAACTGCATCACTTTCCAAACCGGACTTAGAGCAAAATTTCAAGTTTTCATTTAAAGTCCTAACAATGAAAATAAGTGGGTTTACACCTAAAAATGGCCATACTTCATCCTAATGAAATTACAGGTTGGTATTAATGCAATTATTTTTTAGTCTGATTTATACAAGATCAAGCAAGCAGTAACCTGGCTTTCCACACACTTTGATCCCACATTCCTTTTGCCCCAAGATCAGCACTTTCACTGGAGGGGGAGTAGCTGAAAATTATTTATCCAGGGCCAAAAATGTGGTAAACAAATTTGAGAATTAAAGCAAATAATATTTTATCACCTATCCTTGGTTTGCAATTGGAACCAAGAATTGAGATATAGCCACAGCTACACTTCTTATGCCACCTCAAGATCAGATTCAGATACTATACAGGGAGCAATATCCTGAAATCCATGCAATCCTCTTCACATCATCAAGGGGCTACAGGAGCCTCTGTTCCCGGTGTTCACTGCTCTTCAGAAGGGAATTAACTCCAAATCCCCTCGTTTCCTGTGTACCAAACTGGTACAGGAGGAATCAGACATCAGCTGCAGTCAGATCCTGCTCACAAGCAACAAATGAGGAGGCAGTGCCTTGTTTGCAGTGGCTCCCCATTCTGAGGTTGTCTCTTCAATGGGAGAAGCATTTGGTGGAGTAGAGAGAGGGAAAGGGAATGCTGACATGAAATGAGTCAGGCTGAGGATCACTACAGGCAGTGCCACGAAGAGATGCATTGGGAAGAGCCTGCCTGTCATCCAGCACTGAAACGTTGCATTTTCTGAAAATAGCAACACATTTTGAGAGAGTTCAGTTACCTGCCCTCTCTACTTGTATTTAAGTACTCCTTAAATCCTTTGAATAACCCTAAAATTGCCTTTCTGCAGCTGTTTTGCAGTGAATGTTTAAAGTGGCTCGTGTCAGAACAGGCTGCAGTAATACAGAGGTGATCCTGGTGCTCTCACTGTTCCAACAAGTGAGACACTCGGCATTACAGATTTCCCTGAGAAAGTGCTGACAGATACCAAGATTTAGTAACACCCAGGCATTCCCTCTGATCCTATTCCTGGCCATCAAACCCAATCCCACTGAATCCTGCAGCACAGGAATGGTGATAACTGACACTCCTCAGCCAGGGATTTCCAGGGGGGTGTGACTTGCAAATATCCAGTGCTGCAGCAGCTCCTGCAGCCCGCAAGGCTGGGATCATCTCTTATGCCACAGACTGTCGAGTCTTTGACCAGGCTTAAGAAGGAAATAGATTTACTATTTATTGTCTGGCTCTGAGAAATCAAAGACTCCTGTGAAGCTGAGATCCAGCAGGATCAGTTGGAGATCAGTTAACAGCGACCTGATGCTCCTAAGTCAGTTCACAAAACAGTGCAAACTTAAAAAACCTTCTCAACTGAGTGAGGGCACAGTGGTCATCATCACAGCCACACAGTCCCATCACCAAAACAGTTTTTGGTTTTGTTAAAATAAAATAAAATAAAAAAAGGGGGAGGGGGGTAAAACCAGAAAAGTCAATAAAAGTGCTAAAGTAAGTATCTGTAATTACCAAGATCAAAACCCAGTACCTTTTCATTAAACATGAACTTTTGTTCTGCCTTCCACAATACGTAAATAGTGCTGACAATTGGTTTGTGAGGCACTTGCTACAATAAAATCTAATTGTATCATGAGAGAAAGGTGACAATCAGGAGATCATGAAAAAATTACATATTCTCACTGGTGGTTAATTAGCCATGCAAAACCCCCTCAAACAGATATTCTCTTCTATTAGGAATGATTACTATGCAGGCCTACAGATGTCAATACCACAGTCATTCAAATACTTCTTTCCCTACTAATTGAAGGTTGTAAAGCTCTGGTGCCAAGGTTTTGCTTCCAAAGAGCTAATTTATGACTAGAAGGATATTTTATGTCTTCAGTTGCAGCAGCTACAAAACTCAGCAAATCAGAACCATCTGTGCACTGATACTTGAATCACCATTCATCTCGCAGCCTATCAGTCACATTAGTTTGCATCCTGCATTCTTGGCTCACGTACACTTGTGATGGTCCAAAGTTCACCAGGAATATTAAAAATGGATGGGACCCTGACCCTGCCTTATTGCACACGCCCCAGAGCCCCCGCCCGGGGCTGCTGCAAACGGGGACTTTCACAGCAACAACGGGACTGACATTTCCCAGCAAAACTGATAATTACCTCCCTCTCTGCTTAGGGAAGCTGGGCT